CTTTATAATAAATGGTGCTTGAGCAATCAGAACCCACATGCAAATTAATTCAAAAGAGTCGTGGACCAAAATGTTAAGAATTAAAACAATAAAATTTTAAAACAATAAAGAAAAAATAGAAAATCTTTATGATCTTGGATTAGAATTCTTAGATATGACAACATAGAAGAAAAAAATGAATCAGATTTCATCCAAATTAAAAATGTTTGCACTTGGAGGGGCCAGTGGGTCGGCATAGTGTTTAAGGTGCTTAGGTCCCACTTGACTGACTGTGGTTCAAGCCCCCAGGGTCAGTCTGAAAATGTGTTGAGTACTCATGCAATTACCCAAGATCCAGAGCTGTTGGAGATCTGGGGAAAGGAGATGTGGCATGATGTGACCCTGTTGAGGGTCCTTTTTAAAAAAAAAAATTAATTAATTAACTAATTAATTAATTTTGAGAGGTTTTTGCTATAGGGCACATGCGCTTGCCAGACAGACAGAGAGACAGAAAGCGAGAAATCACCCCCCAGGAGGGATGGCCACACCGCAATCTCCTCTCCTCCGTTCTCCTCTCAGGATCCTGGGCACACACGCACACGTGCCCGGCATGAGTTTTAAGCCACCACGTCCAGGATGCGAACTGGGGTCGACTACATGGGAGTCCAGCGACATAGCCATTACGCTAACTGCTGGTCCCCAGGGTCCTTTCTCTGTCGTACATGCATATGCTCTTCATTGTTAAGAATGAAAGAAGGGCCAGCCCCATAGCATAGGGGTTAAGTGCTGCACTGGGAGCTGGGTTCCACATGGCTGACCACAGTTCATATCCAAGCCCTGGTGGCTTGGAAAAACACACTGGTTGCAGGGGTGGGGAGCAGCAGGTGGTGTGGTGGTTAGGACGGTGGATTCCCACATGGCTGAGCATGATTCGAGTCCTGGACCTGGTGGCTTCCTTGTTCTCTCTCTCTCATGAGTGCACGTGCCCTGTAGCAAATTAAAATAATAATAATAATAATTGTCAGAGTTCAGAGTAAGACTCAGGAGGTGCTATCCCAAGAGAAAAAGGAAAGTTTTAGAGAGAAAGAGAGCGGGGGCGGAGGAGGAGGTCTGAAGCTGGAGGTGCTTCAATCCCCACTACCAAAGAGACGTGATGTATTTATACCGGAGGGGTGGAAGGGTAGGGTCACAAGAACCATGGGCACTGGGCTGGCAGGTGGCATGGTGGTTACAGGTGCTGGACTCCCACATGGCCAACTGCAGTTCGAGTCCCAGACCCAAAGGCTTGCTTTCTCATTTTCCTTTTCTTGCTCTCTGCCTGTCTCTGGTCAAATTAAAGAAATAATAATGACAAGTGAAATTAATTAAATAAATAAATCTTAAAAAAAAAAATAAAAAGAAGGGCAGGTGCTCTGATGATCTTACTCACCACCATGACCTGATCCATAGGTTTCGGCTGCCTGTAAGGGAGGGCTCTGGCTGAGGATTTTGGCCCAAAGTCTCTGCAATAAAGTTAAATTGGGACCAGCAGATGGCATAGCAATTACATCGCTGGGCTCCCACATGGGCAACTGCGGTTCAAATCCCAGACCCAGTGACTTGAAACTCATGCCAGATGCATATGTGTGCGTGCCCAAGATCTGGGGAGGAGAACAGAGGAGGGATTATGATGTGGCCATCCCCCCAGGGGGTGATTTCTCATTTTCCCTCCCACTGTCTCTGTCTCTCTCTCCAGCAAGCACACACACACTATGGCAAAAACCCTCTAGAGGTTTAAAAATGTTTTAAAAATGTAAAATTTGATTAAAAATAAATAAACAAAACTAGCACAACATATTTAACAAAGAAGAAACAATAACACTGGGTGCATGTGTGCAGATAGTCCTGGTGGGATGGGAATGGAAGAAAGGGTGGTGGAGTGACTGCACCCCCTTGGGAGCAGGGGTTCTCTTCCCCTCTGCCCCTCAGTGCGTACACAAGCCCTCTGGCAATGTTTTTTTTAAAGGAGGGGAAAAAATGGCCAATAAACTGGACTTCATCAAATTAGAATGTTCTGATCTTCAGAAGACACTGTTTAGAAATTGAAAAGTCAAGCAACACACGAAAGAAAATTATTAGCCCGAATTATCTGACAAAGGACTTAGATCCAAAATACAAAAAAACTCCTGCAAGCCAATATAGAAAATAAACAACTCTATAAAAGATAGGCAAGGGAACCAGCAGTTAGCGTAATGGCTATGTCGCTGGATTCCCACGTAGTCGACCGCAGTTCACGTCTCGGACCCGGTGGCTTAAATCTCACGCCGGGCGCGTGTGCGTGCGTGCCCAAGATCCCGAGAGGAGAATGGAGGAGAAGGGATTGCGGCGTGACCATCCCCCCTGGGGGGTGATTTCTCGCTTTCTGTCTCTATGTCTCTGTCTGTCTGGCGAGCGCACGTGCCCTATAGCGAAAAAAAACCTCTCAAAAAAAAAAAAAAAAAGATAGGCAAAAGACAGTCCATTCTCTAAAGAAAGATGTGATAAATGACCTACTAAGCACATGGGAAAATGGTTAACATCATTAATGATTAGAGACATGCAATGACACGTTTACACCCACTAGAACGGGTCAGATGCAGAAGACCAAGACAGGGCCAGCAGGTGTCATGGTGGTTAAGGAGCAGGACTACCACAATCACTGAACAGTTTGAGTCCCAGACCCGGTGGCTTGAAACACACCTGGAGAAGAAAATGGAGGAGAAGGGAAAGTGAAAAATCACCACCCCCTCCCAGGGGGATGGCCATATCACAATCCCTTCTCCTCCATCTTCTCTTGGAACTTTGGGCATGCACATACATGTGCCTGGTGTGAGTTTCAAGCTGCCAGGTCCAGTCTAGAACAGTCACTGCGTTGGGCCATCCAATCCAGTGCCTTAACCACCATACCACCTGCTGGCCCCACTTTTCAGATATTTAAAAAACTTGCAGGACCAGCAAATGATGTAATGGTTATGTCACTGGATTCCTACGTGACTGACTGCAGTTCAAGTCCTGGACCCAGTGGCTTAAAAATCACTCCAGGTGCATGTGCGTGAGTACTCAAGATCTCAGGAGAAGGATGGAGGAGAAGGAATTGTGGCATGGCTATCCCCCTGGAGGGTGATTTCTCATTTTCCCTCTCACTGTCTCTGACTCTCTCTCAGGTGAACACACACACCCAAAGGCAAAAATCTCTTAAAAAAAAAAAAAAAGAGTCAGGATCATGATTATTTTTGGATGAACGAATCTGGGAAAAGCAAAACGGGACTTTCTTTTTTTGAGAAATTTATTTATCTAACTTTATTTATTATTATTATTATTTTAAAACTCATGTGAGAGGGACAGAGAGAGAGAGAGAGAAAGTGAGAAAGCAAGTTGCCAGGTCCAGGACTTGAACTCTGATCGACCGTGTGGGAGTCCTATGCCTTAATCACCATGCCACCTGCCGGCCCCCAAAACAGGACTAACAATTTTTATATTTTAAGCAGGATAGGAATTCATGGGTATTCACTCTTCTTCTTTAAGCTGTACATATACATTTTATCTACATGTATATAAAATATATAAAATAAATATATATATATATATATTCACATCATAATAAAAAAACCAAATAGCACATCGCACTAAGTGAAGGAAGGAAGTAACAAAAACTCCACATATTGGGAACCAGCAGTTAGTGTAATGACTATGTCGCTGGACTCCCATGTAGTCGACCGTGGTTCGCGTCTCGGACCCGGTGGCTTAAAACTCACACCGGGTGCATGTGCGTGCGTGCCCAAGATCCCGAGAGGAGAATGGAGGAGAAGGGATTGCGGCATGGCTATCCTCCCTGGGGAGTGATTTCTCGCTTTCTGTCTCTCTGTCTCTCTGTCTGTCTGGCAAGCGCATGCACCCTATAGCAAAAACCTCTCCCAACAAAAAAAAAACTCCACATATTGTGATTGTGTCTAATGCCCAGAATAGAAAAATGACAGAGACAGAAAGTTGAAAGTGGTTGCCTAAGGCAGGAGGGTGGGAGAGAAAGGGGGAAGACTGCAGAGGAGTACAGGGTTTCTTTCTGGAGTGAATAACATGTTCTCAAATTGATTCTGGTAATGGTTACCCCACTCTGTGACTATGTTAAAAACTACTGAATTATACTGGGTCATCGGAAAAGCCATGACATATTTTTTTCTGTGCGAAAATGCATCACGACTTTTCTGACATGTTAGATGGGAGAACGGTGTGTCAATTACGTCTCGATAAAGCTTTGATTTTGCTTAAACACGTAGAGAAGTGGGTCACACGGAAAAGCTCTGGCGGGATGAGATGGCAAAGACGACAAAACGACGTGGGACAGGATGGCTCTGCAGAGCGTCCTCGAACATTGGCACGCACCTCAAATCACCTGAGGGCTTGTTCGAACATGGGTGCGGGCCCAATCCCACCTTTTCTGACTTGGTAGGTCTGGGGTGGGGTGAGAAATCTGCATTTCTATCAAGTCCCCAAATGACGCTGACACTGGCCCAGCAACTGCCCTTTGAGAACCTCTGCCGTCCAGCGCCCAACAGGCGTGCCCAATAAACCCGTATTGGACGAGTAGGTGGATGGGTGGTGGCGGGGTGTTCAGGAGTGGGAGGTGGGACCGCGTGGCTGGGTGGATGGATAAATGAGCAGTGAACAGGGAAAGGGTGGACAGACGGGTGGTAGATGGTACTCAGTGGGTGGCTGAACTGGCACGTGGTGGGATGGCTGGGAAGGGGTCAGAGTCTTTGGGGAGAAGGTGTGTTTGGGGGAGTGGGAGTGTAGAAAGCAGTGAAGAGAAGGACTTGGGCTCACCACCTACTAGCTATGCGACTTTTGACACGTGGTTTCACATCCCTGAGCCTCGTTTCCCTCGGGTGTGGAATGTGGGGAAATACCGTCCAGGAATGCTCCATGAGCTAATAGCCTTGGGAGAGCCCAGCGCAGAGCCTGTGTGCAGTGGCTGTGCCTGCCCTGGGCTCGAATGTGACTATTACCGTCATGTATCACTGGGCTGTACTGCGTGGTTGAGACTAGAGGCTTGTAACCCAGGTCCGTCTTGTTTCCGTAGTGGCCGATGCTGACCTCGAACTGAATCAGGTCCTTAAAGTTGGGCATCATGGTACAGGAGAGGAAGACGACGCACAGCCCGTACTTTTGGCGGTTCTGGTGCTTCTGAAACAATAACCCCCCCATGTCCCCAGCATGTAAGCCAAGACACGAACAAGGCCATACAGACAGGCAGGGAGGCAGGACGAGGTGCCCTGTTTCTGTGAAAAGCCAGCTTTGCTTCTCTGCAGGGTGCGCTAGACCAGCAGCAACCTCTACCTCCAAACCCTGCATGGGCGTCCTTGCCTCAGCTGATCCAGCACAGGTCCTCTTGGGACCTCAGTTACTTGCACACTCCAGTCAACAGCCCTGGTGCCTTCCCTTCTTGAAACCAGGCAAGGTGTCTCCTCCCTGTTCAGGCTAGGCTTCGAGTTAGGCCAACGCACCTCCATTCCACGTAGAGGCGCCAACTCCATTTTTGCCGAAACACCCTCTTCAGAAGTTTACATGGGCTTGCACATGCATGTGTGCACACACACACCTGCTTTTCATGGCTCTTCCAAGCTCCCCTTCTCCTCTTAAAAAGGTTGAACCTCCCCAATTCCTGCCCCAACTGCCTACTATCACCCGACTATGTCTGTTCTCATGCCCCCCAGGGCTCGGACCCTCTATCCACCACATCAGCAGCTGTTCCATTTCTCTAGCCAGTCTCTGCCCTGTCCGCTGACTAGCTCAGATCTCCATCTACAAACAAAACAGGGGCCAGCAGGTGGCGTGGTGGGTAAGAGTGTTGGACTCCCACATGGCCAACCGCGGTTCAAGTGCTGAACCTGGCAGCTTGCTTTCTCACTTTCTCTCTCTCTCTCTCTGGCCTTCTCGGGTCAAATTAAAATAAATAAATACATAAGATAAATAAAATAATTCTTTTTAAAAAATAAAAGAACCACAAAGGTCTTTCTCTCCCATCTGAGCCTCTGTTTAGCGGCCCCCGATCTCATCTCTTCCCACTTTCCAGCCGAGTTTCTTCGAAGCGTTGCCTCTTCACAGTAGCTCCAACTTCTCCCTCCCACCCACAGCTGCCTGAACCAGGTCCACGACCACTGGCGCCTTCCTAGTAACCAGCAGACTCCTTCGGGTCCTCGCCTTTTCTCTCTCCTACGTTCAAGATCACTGGTCAATCCTTCCTGCATCTTCCCCCGTCTGCTCCTGCAGACTGCTCCTCAGTCTCTTCCGCAAACCCCTTCTCCTCTCCACCAGCCCCTTGAAGCACTAGCATATTGGGAGGCTTCATCCTCAGCTCCCTTCTCCTTCACCTCACTCTCTCTCCCTGGGCAATTTCCTTCATGATCACAGGTTCAAATCCTAGTGTGAAGGTGGCACACCCTTGGGTCCAGCACCCTCAGGGGCTGGTCTGTGTGGTGTCTCACATGCACAGGTCAGAAATGGAGTTCATCCTCTCCCCGGCCCTTCTCTTCCTTCAGAAACCCCACCTTGTGCAAGTGCCCGTGCTCACCTTGTCACCCAAGGCAGAAAATGGACCCCCCCTTAGTGAGTCGGCCTTACTTCTTCCAAGTCATTTGGTCATTGGCTTGGGCCATTCTGGAATGAGCCTCCTCTCCAGCTTTCCCCCACTGAGATGCGAGCATAGACTCCCCTTTCTCTTGACTGGGTGACCCTGACTTACCCCTCAGCAGTCTCTTGTTAATTCTGTTCCTCCTGCTCCTGCCCTGTCCTGCCTCAGTGACCTCCACCAGCTTCAGATTATCTTACAAAGCCCTGAGAAACCTGGCCACGAATGGCCACCCCTGCTCCTTAATTATGTTAGCCACTTCTTCAAGTGAGACCTGTCTTCTCCTTACCCTCAGGGTGCCCTGAACAGCCAGGATTTGGCACGGTGTGAGTCCCCAGCAGAGGCTGAGTCCACACGCAGGTGGCCTGAGTGTGTAAGGCATCTATACACACCCTCATACAGCACGCGGCTGGGGCCCTGGGTTACCTGTGTCCCGCGGTTACCTCTATCCTGGTCACTTCCTGGGAGAGATCCTTCATCCTAGAGTCTTGATGGGACTTGACTTGGGTGATTAACTCCAGGAAGACTCGGCCCCGATATGCCAAGCCGTCCCTAACAGAGTCGGGGATACACTAGGGTAACAGAGAGGAAAGGGATGAGAAAAGGCGACTCTCCCCCGAAGCCCTCTGCAAAGTCAAGGTTGTTGAGTCATCAACTGTCTGCCTGGGGCTGGCTCCGACACACTCTCAGGGTGGTGTTAGAGGCTCAGACACCTCTGTGCGAGGAAACCTGGGGCCTGAGCCTTCTTGTGCACTCTGAGCACCCGCAGCTCCCCTTCCTCGGTTCCGCCTGCTAGCCATTTCCAAAGATCACAAAAGTTCCAGGCTTGGGAGGTTCACGCTAACCATTAAGCTTATGCTCCCGGCCTGGCCAATCAGGACATGCCCCCGACTTCTTGGCAACAGTGATTGGTTCATAGTGGAGCACACATGACCTATGGAGCCCAATTAAGATGCTTCTCTAGGGTGCCAGCACGTGACACGGTTGCTGAGGAGCCGGACTCCCACATGGACAACCTGGGTCCAGTCCGACCTGGAGGCTTGCTTTCTCACTTCCCCTCTCTCTCTGGTCAAATTAAAAATAAATAAATTGGGGGACAAGCAGATGGCATAATGGTTATATCACTGGACTCCCACATGACCGACTGTGGTTCAAATCCCATACCCAGTGGCTTGAAACTCACCCCGGGTGTGTGTGCATGCTTGCCAAAAATCCAAAGAGGAGAATGGAAGAGAAGGGATTGTGGTGTAGCCATGCCCCCGGGGGATGATTTCTCACTTTCTGTCTCTATGTCTCTCTGTCTCTCTGGCAAGCACACATACTCTATAGCAAAAATCTCTCGTAAAGAATAAATACATTGAAATAAATAATTGGAAATAAAATGCTTTCCTGGCATTGGCGGACAGGCCTACCCCTGAGGCGTGACTGCAGTAAAACAGAATGTGGTGGATGTGAAGAGTGGCCGAAGTGAGAGAAGGGGTGAGCGAGAGAACTTCCTAATGGCATCAAGGGCCTGGCACCGGTAGCTCTTTCTCCTAACCCTTCCCAGCCTCGTTTCCTTTTCTTATTTAAGCCAACTTGGGTTACATTTCTGGCATCTTTCTCCAGTTATTTAAAGCACTTGAAGTGCGGGTGGTGTGGTGGTAGAAGTACTGGACTCCCACATGGCATGGCAGTTCAAGTCCCAGACCCAGCAGCTGGAAAATCACAACACAAAAAAACAGATAAATAAGTGTGTAAAAAAAAAAAGGCACTTGAATTGCCACATGCTTCTCCACGGTCACCTGTGCTGTTTCCTACACCTGCTGACAATCTTACCTAAGGTGTCCTCCGTGCCCCTTCCTCCACGACCACCCAGAACACGCCGACCGTTCCTTCCGCGTGGCGGGGCACGTGTCCCAGAAGTGCAAGGCTATTTACACACAGGCTTCACATCCTCCACTCCAGCGCGGCAGACAGAAACCAGGGCCGATGGTCCCTGGGCATTTCCCGGGCCCCCATGCTTCGCTGGGTTTTCCGTGGCTAACATGGCTGGTTTACCTGCACTGACCCCTGAGCAGACATGAGAAGCTTACAGTGCCATCCTGGATCCTGAAAGGGGCCTTTTTACCCCCATGGAGAGTCAGGAAGCTGGGGCCGAAGCAGGGTAGGAAGCCAGAGAACATCCCTGGAAGAAGAGAGGGTGAGGACGGAGGGCCACAGGGAGAGGCGTGGGAGGCGGGGACTGGGACTTTGCTTGCCTTCGAGCTCCTCTCCGGTGGACGAGATCTGGTTGAGGTACAGGCTGGCAGTGCCGATCTCATCCTGGCAGTTTTTCGCAGAGCTGGAGAGACACGCACTCTGCAGGCTGAGCCTTTTCCCCCCGCCCGGTGTGCTTTGGCCTCCCCGCTCGCTCACCAGTCCAGGACTCGGAACCTGATGTAGCTGGACAGGCAGGGCAGCTGCAAGGCAAAGGCAGAGCACTGAGCGCGCTCTCCCCGGGCTGCAGAGGTCGTTTTTTGTTTTTTTTTTTTGTTTTCGTTTGAGAGATTTTTGCTATAGGGTGCGTGCGCTTGCCAGAGAGACAGAAAGCGAGAAAACACCCCCTAGAGGGGGTGGCCACACCGTAATCCCTTCTCCTGTCAGGACTTTGGACAGGCATGCACACATACTTAGAATGAATTTCAAGCTGCCAGGTCTAGGACTCGCCCCGAGGTCGGCCGTGTGGGAGTCCAGAGCCTTAGCCACTACACTACCCGCTGGCCCCAGGGCTGTGCAGATTCTGAGAGCAGTTGGGAAGTCCTACATCTGGGCTGAGCCAGGAAGGAGGAAGCTGCCCACATTTAAGGACATTGGCAGGAGATGGGCACCATGAAGCATCCAGGCCTTCCACCTCCTGAGTCCTCCGGTTTCAAACTCATGACTGGACCATCTCTCAATGCACCCTGAGAAAAATTCTGCTCCCCACTCTGAGCTCCTTGCCTTGACTCTGGTGCGCTGTCTCCTCTCCTACCCTGGTGCTCTCAGACTGGCCCCTGCCACAGGCTCATTTTCAGCAGTGCCCTGGACTCTGTTCCCTGGGCCAGCTGGCTTTGATGCTACCATCTTCAGAGTGAGGTTCACACCGGTCTGCTGCGTTGCCAAAGGACTAGTGACAGTGAGGCCTGCACCCAAATGGCCCCAGCCCCGGAGCCCGTGTTCTGGGGAAAATGAGTGAGAGTCCAGGTGTGTTTGGAACTCTTCAGACATGGGAAGACTGCTCTGAGGGATGAGGAAGGGCCTGGCTTGGGTCATTTTTCTGGGCCTGAAAGAAGATGACCAAAGGACTTCCAAGATGCATCCGCAGAGCATCTGAGGATCTGGGCCTTGCACTTGTTAAGGATGGAGGGTGGACTAGGCGCCTCAAAAATATCCTCCTACTTTAAGAGTCTATAAACTTGGGACCAGCAGTTAGCGTAATGGCTATGCCGCTGGACTCCCACGTAGTCGACTGTAGTTAGAGTCCCGGACCCGGTGACTTGAACTCACGCTGGGCGCGTGTGCATGCATGCCCAAGATTCCGAGAAGAGAATGGAGGAGAAGGGATTGCGGTGTGGCCATCCCCCCTGGGGGGGGGGATTTCTTGCTTTCTGTCTCTCTGTCTCTCTCAGTCTGTCTGGCGAGCGCATGTGGCCTATAGCAAAAACCTCTCCGAAAAAGAAAAAAGAGTCTAAACTCATCCAAGGAAGTGAATGGTTAAAAATGAGGACTCATCATGGGGCCTGCAGGTGGCATGGTGGTTAAGGCTCTGGGATCCCACATGGCCAACCATGGTTCAAGTCTTAGACCAGGTGGCTTGTTTTCTCATTTTCCCTTTGCTCTCTGTCTTTGGTTGAATTTAAAAATAACAACAAGGTCTGCACGAGGTGAGGACAACATGGAGGCCTCGGCTTCCCCTGCAGTGTCCGATTCGGGTGCGCCCGTGGCCTTGCCCGAGACTTCTGCTGTCCCCACCTCCCTGGACCAGTTGGATGAAGGGCAGATAAGAAAGGCAGTGGAAGCTCTGTTGGCACATGCCAAAACCAGGAAAAACAGTAATGGATTGCTTCTGAATGAGAATGAAGATGTATTTTTAATGGTGGTATTGTGGAAAATTCCTAGTAAAGAGCTGAAGGTCTGATTGCCCTTGCCTATTAGTATTCGGACAGATTTGGCAGAAATTTGTTTGTTTACCAAAGACGAACCCAATTCGACTCCTGAGAAGACAGAACGTTTCTATAGACAGCTTTTGAATAAGCACGGAGTTAAAACCACTTCTCAGATTATTCCTTCCCAGACTTTGAAAAGGGAGTATAAAGCCTGTGAGGCCAAGCTTCGCCTACTGAGTAGTTTTGACTTCTTCCTTTTTTTTTTTTTCTTTTGGAGAGATTTTCACTGTAGGGCGCGTGCGCTCGCCAGACAGACAGAGAGAGACATAGAGACAGAAAGCGAGAAATCACCCCCCAGGGGGGATGGTCACGCCTCAATCCCTTCTCCTCCATTCTCCTCTCGGGATCTTGGGCACGCACGCACACGCGCCCGGCGTGAGTTTTAAGCCACCGGGTCCGGGACACGAACCGCGGTCGATTACGTGGGAGTCCAGCGACATAGCCATTACGCTAACTGCTGGTTCCCACTTCTTCCTCACAGATGATAGGATCAGGCGGCTCTTACCATCGTACCTTGGGAGGCATTTCTATCAAAGGAAGAAAGTTCCAGTAAGTGTGAACCTTCTGGCCAAGAATTTATCAAAAAGAGATCGATAGTTCCATAGGTGGAACCATATTAAACATCCCGAAAAGCGGTCCTTGCAGCACTAGACGCGTTGGTCACACTGGAATGCAGGCTCCGCACCTCGTTGAAAATGTTGTTGCTGTCACGGAAAGGCTTTCAGAAAAATTGCCAGGGAAATGGGAGAGTATGAAACTCTTGTTTGTGAAAACTGAGAAATCGGTTGCCCTTTCCATCTTCTCCTCGTTTGTCAGCAGTCAGGATGGAGCCAAAAGAATATACACTCCTACTCAGAAGGAAAAGAAAAAATTGGGAAAGGAGAAACACAGAGGAAAAGAATATGAAAAACAGAAGAAGAAAAGGAAGAAAAACAAAAAGATAATGCAAGAGGGTGGTAAGGCTGCATCAGTCGGAACTAAAGATGATGTAGCACCGAAAATTGCTGGTGCTCCAGTGAGTAATTCTGGACCCCAGAAAGGAGTGAATGCAGAACAGGAGAAGACTGGCCAACGGAAAGCCCAACTGAAACTGAAAGATGAACCTGAAGATGAAATTCCACAACTTGTACCAATAGAAACTCCAGCTAAAGGAAATGTAGAGATGCAAACACATGGCCCAGAAAAGACGTCTCCAAAACAGATGTCTGGTCCCAGCCCACCTCGGGCCAAGTTCTTTGCTACTCCTAGCAAATCTGCAAAGAAAGCTCCCCAAACCCCCAAACAGTGCCCCTCCAAACCCCAAGTGCCCCAGTCAACCTAACGTGAGTAAATAGGAGGAAACATAATGCACCTTAAGCGTGCTTGGTCCAGACTGCACTATAGTCTTACCAGGCCTGGAAGTTGATATGCTTATAAACCTCCACAGGTGACTCTTGGTGTATGTTCCGGGGTATAAGAGGTTTAAAGTAAGTTCTATTTTTAAATTGGTCTTTGTGCTTGCTTATATAATAGAAGGAAAGTAAAGTGCTTCTCTTTGTGTTTTTCATTAAAAATACAAGTTGATTCTAATTATGTAAAAAAAAAAAAAAAAACAATAATAAGAGGACTCATCAAGGCCAGAAGGTGGCATGAAGTTCGAGGCTCCAGATCCCACATGGCCCATTGCACATCCTGGACCCAATGGCTTGGAAATCACACAGGACATGTGTGCATGTGTGCCCAAGTGAGAAATCGAGCCAGTGGATCTGGGACTCAAACCACGGTTGGCCATGTGGGAATCCAATGCCCTTAGCCACCATGCCACCTGCCAGCCCACACCTGTTTGCTTTTAATTTGCTAGGGGACATGTGCAAGAGGGGAATGGAGGAGACGGAATTGTGGCATAGCCATCCCCCCAGGGGGTGATTTCTCACTCTCTCTCTCTCTCTCCTTTTTCTGGCGAGCACAGGCACCTCGTAGCAAAGCTAAAAAATAAAAGTTAGGACTCACCAGAAGGTTTCAGAGGAAGTAAGGCTTCGCATCCCAGGAAGGAGGGAAGCTGCTTTCATATCCCACGACATAGGGTACAGGCGAGCTGGACACCCTGGGTAGCCACATTGCTGTCTCGCACAGTGCTGTGCACTTACGCTTAGCAGAGAGCTCAGGTTATCTCCTAACTGTTTATTCTTTTTTTTTTTTTTTTTTTTTTGCAAGAGGGCATGTGCACTTGTAGGGGGGAGAGAGTGAGAGCGAGAGCAAGGGCTAGAGAGAGAGAGAGAGAAAGCACCCCCACCCCCCCATGGAGAATAGTCACACTGCAATCCTTCTTCCCCATCTCTTCCTCCTTGGGTGTACGCGTGCCCAGCTTGCTGTGAAGTCTGGGCCTCAGACAGTGCAGTTGACCATTTATTATTGTTATTTTTTAATCTGATCAGAGAGAGACGATGGACAGAGAGAGAAAGTGAGAAATCGAGCCACTGGATCTGGGACTCAAACCACAGTTGACCATGTGGGAATCCAAAGCCCTTAACCACCATGCCACCTGCCAGCCCACACCTGTTTGTTTTTAATTTGCTAGGGGGCATCTGCACTTGCTGGAGAAAGAGCAAAAGAGAGGGAAAGTGAGAAAGCACCCCCAACAGGGGATGGTCACTTCACAATGCTTTCTCCGTTTCTCCTTTCGAGATTTTGGGTGCGCACACAAGTGCCTGGCATGGTTTTTCAAGCCACTGGTCTGGGACTCAAACCACGCCATCAGCCGTGCGGGATCCAGCGCCTCAATCTCCACGCCACCTGCTGGCCCAGTTTGGTTGTTCTTTAGTGTGGATCAAAGAACATTTAGGTTCTCTGGAAGGTCCATTTGTGTGATCCATTCATTGCTCAATGCTGGGGATATAACCTAAGGTTTTCCAAAATAGGTCCTGACCAAGCCAACCCCTTGGCCCCACCTTCTCCCACCCCCCCACAAACACCCCAACGTCCTTTCTATTTAGGGCGTAGTTGGGGAAGGGCAGGCGTGTTAGAGCAGCCATACCTGAATCTGGAAGGTCAGGATCTGGTTCCATATCGGGTTCTCGGTTTTGGTCTGCACGTTTGTCTTGAGCTGGGAAACGTCCCAAAACAATGTCAGTGACTGCCTGCCTTGTGGGCCCTCTGTCAGCCTGGCCTTCCAGCCCCTCCCACGCGGCCCACACGTGGACACTGTCCAAGCACAGAGGGCGTGGGCTGCTCTCTGGTCTAATGACACTCTAACAACTTCTCCCGTCAGGTACAGCTTGACTCCTTTGTGTATAAGGCTTTTCAAAAAGTCCCTGGGAAACCAGCAGTTAGCGTAATGGCTATGTCGCTGGACTCCCACGTAGTCGACCGCAGTTCATGTCCCGGACCCGGTGGCTTAAAACTCACGCCGGGCACGTGTGCGTGCGTGCCCAAGATCCCGAGAGGAGAATGGAGGAGAAGGGATTGCGGCGTGACCATCCCCCCTGGGGGGTGATTTCTCGCTTTCTGTCTCTATGTCTCTCTCTGTCTGTCTGGCGAGCGCACGCGCCCTACAGTGAAAATCTCTCAAAAAAAAAAAAAAAAAAAAAAAAGTCCCTGGCAAGTGTGTATTGTGAAATGCTTGACATAGATTTCATATAGTTTTTCGCACCAAAATAAACTCATACTAACTCATACTTTAATTCCACTTTTCTGTAGACTCTTTGAAGTTATATTGTACTTATCTTGAGGTTCTTTATTTTCAATTTATATTGAAAATATTCTTTAATAATTTTTGTTAAATTAACTTCCAGTCGGCTTCACGTTTAAATCGATACAGGCCTACCAACTTTATTATGTGAGTGCACACACATAGATTTTGTTAACATCTAAGATCCCAACAGAAAAATGAACAAAAACACAGCTGATGACAGCAGCTTACATATCCCTTTTAAAATCATCATTTGGGGGCTGGCAGGTGGCATGGTGGTTAGGGCACTGGACTCCCACATGGCCAACTACCAGTTTGAGTCCCAGACCTGGTGGCCTGCTTTCTTTCTCTCCCTCTCTCTGGTCAAACTGAATAACAATAATAATAATAAATTAAAATAAGCAATTTCTTTACAATTAAATTCATCATTTGGCTTAATTTTTAAACTTAGCCTTCTTTTAAGCAGTGAGAACTGTAAAATCAAGTGTTAGTTGGTCTCATTAAGTTTTTATTTTTTAAGAAGTATTTACTTGATTTTTTTAAAGAATTATTTTATTTAACTTTATCCATTTATTTATCTTTTTTAATTAGACCAGAGAGGGACAGAGTGAGAAAGGGAGAAAAAGCAAGCCACCAGGTCAGGGACTCGTACTGCCGTCAACCATGTGGGAGTCCAACACCTTAACCACCATGCCACCTGCCAGCCCCTTATTTATTTAATTTTATTTGTTATTATTACTGTTCAATTTGATGAAAGAGAGACACAGAGAGAGAGAGAATTTGAAAGCAAGTTGCCAGGTCCGGGACTCAAACCGCGGTCGGCCATGTGGGAGTCCGACAGCCCAAGCACCATGCCATTTGCTGGTCTCCTTATTAAGTTTTTTAAGGTACACTAAAATAAACATAGAAATATCAAAAAATGTAAAAGAAGTGTGTCACTTGCCACCTAAGAACATTTCCCCTAGTACTGGGGTACCCAGACCAGTCACTGGGGGATAAATGCTGGCTTATTAGGTAAATGGTGCTTTTCAGTATAACCACAAAGTCTTTAGAACTGCTCCCTTCAAAAGATGGACATTAATTCCCGTCCCCTCGTGTCTGGGTTGGATTTAATGACCTGTTTCTAACAGATACAGCGTGGTAGAAATGATGCCTTAAGAATTTTGAGATAAGTGTATTTAACCTAGCATCCCCCAAATTTGAAAATACAGCACTTTTTCTTTTCTTTTCTTTTTTTTTTTTTTTTCACGCAACACTCATCAGCACACTTTGAAAAACGTATTTTCAGGGATCAGCAGTTAGCGTAATGGCTATGTCGCTGAACTCTATGTAGTCGACCACGGTTTGAGTCCCAGACCCGGTGGCTTAAAACTCACGCTGGGCGCGTGTGCGTGCGTGCCCAAGATCCCAGAAGGAAAAGGGATTGTGGCATTGCCATCCCCTCTCTGGGGGTGATTTCTCACTTTCTGTCTCTCTGTCTCTGTCTGGTGAGCTCACATACCCTATAGCAAAAACCTCTCAAAAAAAAAAAAAAAAATAATAATAGAAAAGAAGAGGAAAACGTATTTTCAAATGCTTCCCCGTATTCAAAGAGGCTCAAGTAATGTTACAGTCACTGTCTGGTCCAGACTTTCAGTGGGCCAATAAGGGAACTGAGGCTCAGAGGATGGCGACAGTCCCAGTGTTGCTCGCTGGCTGGCACGTTGTCTCATTCACTCACTCATCCTCCACATCTGGTTGGACAGCTCCAAGCAAGGCAGTGAGCACAACTCTGGCATGTAGGGGTGAACAAGACATGGCGGCCTCCTCCGCGGGTCACACTGCCCCCTGGTGGGTGAGCTGGGATGTGATCCTCGGAGGCCCGCGCACCAGTCCACTCTTCCCCCACCCTAGTTTTTATAAGTGCCAGTTCCTCTGGGCCTCAGACCCTTTCTTTCTTTTTTTTTCAGAGATCTTTGCTATAGGGCGTATCTGCTCACCAGAGAGACAGAGACAGACATAATGAAAGTAATCACCCCCCCAGGGGGGATGGCCACACTGCAATCCCTTTCTCTTCATCCTCCTCTTGGGATTTTGGGCATGCACGCACATGAGCCCGGCATATTTCAAACCACTGGGTTTGGTATTTGAACCACGGTTGGCCAGATGGGAAACCAGCACTTTAACCTCCATGCCACCACGTGACCCCTCTCAGACCCTTTTACACTTACCTTTTCCCCAATGAGTTCCACCTCCAACATAGGATTCACTGAGAGGTTTTTCTCTGTGAACGAGAAGTTAAGAGACTTCTGGAACAGTGACTTTTTCCCCAGAGGGAGGAAAGAGGGAGACAGTGCAACTTAGAGCCCTGCCCTAAGTTAGGTGATTTAGTTAGGTGCCCCTTGGGCAGACCTGTCTTCAGTGACCCCTCTGCCCCTTCCATGTGTTGTGTGCATGGCCACACGGGGCAGGGAGATGGGCACGGGGACCCTCCAGTCTGCATCTGGGTATCAAAGGGCAGGGGCGTGGGGCTCGCTGAAAGGGCATCCACAGGACCTTCATAAAACAGCGGCTGGTGGGTTTCAGCCTCACTCTGTCCTCCGCCCCAAACCTCAGGTTAGCATCAAAAGGAATGAGGGAGCCCCATGAAGACCCAGGGTGTGCCGTGTGGGGAGCCTCGGGGTCGCCTCCCCCGCCCGCTCTAACTGAGAAGAAGGTCCTCCGCGCAGTAGATGAAGAACTGCAGGTAAGCCGCGTGGATGGGGGCTGCGGCTGACTTGAAGATCCGAATACTGGTGTCGTCAGCCCCATAGGGCAGCTTTTGATCCACCTGGAGAGACCAGAGAGTGGACAGAGTCAAGGTCATGGGCGGTCATAGCCAGCCTCCCCCGCGGTGCCAGAGGAGAGAGACGACCCTGCAATGACACGGCAGACGGGAAGGATGCAAAGGTCGGAGGCCACTGTGAGAGCCCAAGGTCCTCCAGGGAAGCAGCCGGGGGAGGACACGTTCCTGGGATGTGGGGCAGCCTCACCAAGGCCTGGTCTCCCACGCCGAGGGCACAGATGGTGACTTTCAGGTAGCCTGTCACACCACTGCCGGGCTTGTGTGGGTTGCAGAGGCCTAACCACTTCCTCAGGAGTGTGTGACCTGGAGAGGCAGAGCCCTGGGGAACCAGCTCCGGGCGTGGCCTCTCCCCTGACACCGGGGGTGGGGGCTGGAAACAAGTCTCCTGTATTCCGGTCCCCCTCACTGGTGGAGTCACACCCAGAGCAATGACAGTGCCTTCACAAGCTGCCATCCAGTGCCTGTAGGGAAGGGGGACCCTCTTTCCACTCTGGAACCTACTGCCGTTACTGCCTGGCTGGAGCCAGACGCTCCAGAGGGGAGCGTTTCTTCACCCCAAATCCACGTCGCAACCTGAGTGTGTGTATTATGTTGGACAAGGGTGGAAACGGCCTCTGAGACTTCAGTCTCCCAATACTGCCCCCACAAAAAAATACCAGAAATCCACCCCAGGGTTGCCACAAAAGGTTAGCATTTGACCCACAGGGGTGCCCTGTGTAGCATACATGTTTATGTGGCAAAGTAAGATGAAATCCCATGAAGCATGAACTGCTGTCAAGTACAGGAGGGATGCACCCTCTAATATTCTACCTCCATGTGTTGAACAAAGGGGGCTGTTGAGCCGTCCCTGGCCCTGGTTTTTCTCAGAACACACACACATTTGCAACAACTCTTACCTGGAGAATGGTAGATATACCCAATATCTGTCTGAAAAGACAAGAGTGGGGTGAGGATTAGTTAGGGCCTCCAACTAAGATGTGTGATACCACCTGACCCCAGGCAAATATTAGCTTTGGCTGCCTTAGCACCTTTAATCTTTCTTTTCTTTTCTTTTTTAGGGAGATTTTTGCTATAGGGTGCATGTGCTCACCAGAGAAACAGAGAGACAGAGAGCAAGAAATCACCCCCGAGGTGGGATAGCCACTCCACAATCAATCCCTTTTCCTCCATTCTCCTCTTGGGATTTTGGGTACACACACACACGCCCATTGTGCTTCAAGCCACCAAGTCCAGGACTCGAACCGCAGTTGGCTATGTGGGAGTCCAACGATGTAACCTTTACACCATCTGCTGGTCCCTAACTTTTTCTTTTCTTTTCAGGTCTTGCCATAGGGCACGTGCACTCACTGGAGAGACAGGGAGAGGGAAAGTGAGAAATGGCCCCCCTGGGGCGATGGCTAAGCTATGTTCCCTTCTTCTCCGATTTCCTCTAGGCATTTTGGGCACACAGGCACAAGTGCCCAGTGTGTTTTTCAAACTGTGGGGTCTGGACTCAAACTGTGGAGTCGGCCATGTGGGACCCAGGGCCTTAACCAGCATGTCACCTGCTAGCCCAATCTTTTCAACAACCCAGAATGTAGATCCACTCTCACCTCCCACCTCACAGAGGAGGGTACTGAGTTTGAGACAGGTCTTCAAAGTCATTTGGGTAGAGAGTGGGAAGCCTGCATTGAAAAGGCCCTTGGCACCACACTGCACTGCCTGGCCCACACCGCTGACCCTCCCTATCCCTGAGTGTGGGGAGAGTGTTTCCTATCCTACGGGAACAGCGTGGTCAAAGTAGGGGTCAGCAGACGGTGAGCTTTTCTGTTCCCCTGGAACATGGCTTCTGAGAGAGGCCCGAGGGGTGCGGTGCAGAATTGAAGGTGGTTTGTGTGGGGCAGTGTCACAGGACATCTGGCCACCCTTGTAACCCACGCCCAAAAGTTCCACAGAGAATCTCCAGGCCTGCATTAAAACTCAGTCATCCCTGTGGGTTAGGCAGGCAAAGACTTTATAGATACAACAGCAAAAGCACAATTCATCAAAGGAAATTTTGATAAACTGGACTTCATCAAAATGTAAGACTTCTGCTCTTTAGAGAACACTTAAGAAAATGTAAGGACTGGACCAGAAAGTGCCATGGTGACTAGGTGCTGGACTCCCACATGGTTGATCATGGTTTGAGTCCCAGAGCCAGCGACTTGAAAATTATACCAGGCGCATACATGCACTGTTGCAAAAACCTTAAAAAAAAAAAAAAAGGAAAAGAAAATGCAAGGGTGGTCATATACAGGAATAAAACATTTACAAATCATATATCAGTAATAAGAAAATGAACAACCCAGTGAAAAGGAGCAAAAGACTTGAACGGACATTTCACCAAGGATGACAAGCACATGGCAACAGGCTCAACATCGTTAATCACCAGGGAGGCATAAATTAAAATCACCCTGGGATACTACCACGCACCGTTAAGAGGGCTGAAATGAAAGACAGACTGTATCAGGTACTAAGGAGGATGTGGAGCAGCTGACGGACAAGTGAAGGAGTGAAAAATCTCTTTTGAATTTTGGAGAAAGCACTGCTGGGCATTATCTTTGAAAGTTAAAATATGCCTCTCATAAGACCTAGTCATTTTACTTCTACACATTTACCCAAGAGAACTTGTTTTTTCTTTTAGTGTGGCTGTAGGGCACGTGTGCTCTCTGAGAGAGACAGAGAGAGAGGAAAAATGAGAAGTCACCCCCCCCAAGGGTGGGTGGCCACACACAATCCCTTCTCCATTCTCCTCTTGGGACTTTGAGCATGCACACACATATACCCAGTGTGTTTTACAAGCTGCTGGGTCCAGGACTCAAACTGGGCTGTTGGCCATGTGGAATCCAGCTGCTTTAACCTCCACACCACCTGCTGGCCCATCCAAGAGAACTTTTGTTTTTTAAGAGAGGATGTTTTTTCTCTAGGGGGTGTGTGCTCACTGGAGTGACAGAGAGATAGAGAGACAGAAAGCAGGAAATAACTCTCCAGGGGGAATGGCCACGCCACAATTGCTTCTCTTCCCTTCTCCTCTTGGGATTTTGGGCATGCATGCACACGCACCTGGTGTGAGTTTTAAGCTGCTAGGTCTGGGACTCGAACTGCAAGTGACTACATAGGAGAGTCCAGTAATGTAACCATTATGCCATCTGCTGCTCCCCCAAGAGAACTTTTTAATTTTTAGAATAATTGTATCAATTAATTTTATTTATTATTATTATTTTTTAAATGTACTGTAGGACACATGCGTTCACCAGAGAGAGAAACAGAGAGAGAGGGAGAGAGAGGGAAAGTGAGAAAGCAAGCTGCCGCTCCAGGACTTGAGCCACAGTTGGCCACATGGGAGTCCAGCACTTTAACCACCATATCACCCATTGGCTCCAAGCACTGTTTTTTAGTTTAATTTAGTTTTGTTTTTTTTTTTTTTCCCATAAGGCACATGCACTCAATGGAGAGAGACAGAGAAAGAAGAGGTAAGTGAAAAATCACCCCTTAGGAGTTTCTCCTCCATTCTTCCCTAGGGAAAACGACCACATGCAAGCACATTCTCCTCCATTCT